TTTTTGTCTCCCAGTTCTGTGATATGTCCCAAAAAGTGTCTGGCCATTGTCAACCCCTAATAAGTATATTCATGACAGAGATAATAAATACCTCTGCTAGAGTCCTCAGAAAGGCAGAAAATGGAACAGACCCTTTGGAGGGACTTGCATGTCTCCTTCTGGGGAGAAAATCAGGCAAGAGGGCGGAGGGATATTGAAGTGCTGGATAGCTCAGGGATTTGGGTCTTTGCCTGAAGGTCCGAAGGATGGGAGTTTGATTCCCTACTGGGTCTCCTTAACAAGGGCTGGGCTCGATCGTCCATAGGGCTCCTTCCAGCTCTGCAGTTCTAATTTTGTTTATTTATTTATTTATTTGATTTATACTCCGCCTATCTGGGCGACTCGTCCACTCTAGGCGATTATTAAGCCATGTCTTCATCTTGTTCTCTAGACATTTACTGAAGACAATAATAAAGGAAATCTCAGACGGGAAACCTCAGAAGATTTCCTGTTGCTATATTTCAACAAGATTCTTCTTGCTAACTCAGAACTGCATCCACCCGTTACATATTTTAGATGCTGAGTTCTCCAGAGTAAGTAGAGAAGGACAAACTGTAATATCAACAGAAGGTTCCCAAAACAGTATTCCCTGTGAATTGGTAGAATGAGTGTTAATTCAGTTTCTGTATGAAAAGCAGCAGAAGACAAGAGAAGGAGTTGGGGGAGCCAAGACAATTTTTATTTATTTATTTTTATTTATTTTATTTATATCCCGCCTATCTGGTCGGGCGAGGACCACTCTTCTTACAATCCCTATGTCTGGATTAGACATACCTGTATAAGGATTATAAAATTGGCCTGGATATGGAGAGGAAGGTTGTGAGGCTGAGCTCTCTCCCTCTGGGAAATGATCCTAACCTCCTCTCTACTATTTGCTAACTTTGCACCTGTTTCCATCTGCAAAAGAAGGGAAGTGTGAGGTTCTGGCAGAGGTCTGTCCTAGGAAGGAGAAGTAAAAGTCATGGAAAGGAAGAAGATCATATTAAAATGGACATTGTTAGGTTGAATACACAGAGATACACACTACTGCTAGTGCCCTTCCTACCTTGAATATTCTTGTGTTTCTTATACGCAGAATCTTGTAGCTGTCATAGATGTGG